CTTAAAAAATTATCTTCATACCAATTTCAGTATTGACTTTATATAGAATGGATGTAACAAATTATCATTTGACAACTTTCAATTTTAGCTAAAAAGTAAAAAAGTCATTATAAATTGTTACATCGAAAAAAACGCAAAAACACACAAACACCAAACATTAGCCTGAAAGCGTAAATTAATATTTTACTGTTTACGTCTTGAGTATTTAAAAAAAAAAAAACTCTCTCTCTAAAACCTCCAGCTCGGGCCTCACCGCTGGCCAGCCGGCCGCCGCCTTTGGCCATGGCGGTTGGCTGGCCTAGCTTTTCTTGTTTCGTTGTTTTTTTCTCCTAATAATCTTGAGCCCCCATTTGCTTTCCGTTTTTCTCCTTTTCAGATCTAATCTCTAGATTTGCTTAGGATGATGTTTAAGTCCTTTCGTTTTTTGTTAGATTGCGTGTTTTCACAGGTTTTCTTTGGGGTTTCTGGCTGAGCATTCTTTGGGTGGTTTCAGATCTATCTTTTCCGGCAGTCTGAAAGCTTAGGGGGTTGGTTCAGGCGGCAGTGGTGCTTTGATAGGTGGTTTTGGTGGGTTCTTTCTCGAATGAAGAGGTCCGGTGGAAGTGGTGCTTCGGCCATGGGTTTCGGTTTAGGGTGGTTTGCGTTGTTCTTGGGTGGGTTGGTTCAGGAACTTCATTCGGGCATTTCTCTACGAGTGGGAGTTTGAGGGGTGGAGGATTCAGAGTTGTTTAGGATCTTCATTCGAGCGCTTCGTGCGAGTGGGAGTTTTGAGGGGTGTATTCCGTTCAAACCTTGGTGGTCGGTGTTTGTGTTCGGTTAAGAGGAGAATGGCGCCGGGTCTACAAAGAGAGGATTGGTTAGCGTTGGTGGTGAGAATCAACTGAGGGAGTTGTTTGGGAGAGGGAAACCATGGGAGAAGGTTAAGTTGGAAAACTGGGTTTTCAGGGGTAAAGCGTGGTGACAGCACCAGTAGCTTCATTCCCGGAGGCAGAGACAGTGCTTGTTGAAGAAGACCCTAAGGAGGAGGCGGTAGCAGCAATAGAGGAGGCACCTGTAGCAGTCCCGACGGAGGTTGAAGCCACAGGTGGTTCTCTGCAGCAATGAAGCCTGAGTGTCCGGCTTTGGTGCAGGGTGTTTGGGTCAGGCGTGCAGGGTGTTTGGCATGCAGGGTGCTTAGGTCCGGCGTGGGGCTCAAGAGTTTGTGTATCAGGGTTCGGCATTGGGCGTGCAGTGTTTCGGTGGTTGTGCTTCAGTGTTGTGTGGGGCTCAAGAGTTTGTAGTGTTGTTTTTATTTGTTTTTTAAAATATAAAACCGTGAGGCTAAGGGGTTGGTTGTAAAGACGTGAGTAGCAGTAATAGGAGAGTGAGTTTTTACTCTTCGAATCTCTCTCATAGCGTTTTTTTTCCTTGTACCTTTAAATTTCATGTTTTTAATGAAATTTTTTTCTTTGCCGATCAAAAAAAATAAATAAAAAATTGTTACATCATTCTCTCTATTTTTCTACATATTTTTTCGTAAAAAATTAAAATGTTAGTAAAATAGTATATTCCCAAATGAGATAACATTGAATTCATTTAGTTTTATGTTCTTATGGGTAAATCAAATTTTTTTTTTTACAAAAAAATTAATTTAATAATCATAACAACATAATTTTACATATTTATTTTTCAAAATTGAATGACAAATATATGAATCGAATTATGGAAAGAAAAAAAAAATTATGATGAGCGCAACAGACTTGAACTTAGACAACAACATTTAATGTACATAATGGACCAAAGAAAATCTATAGCCCTTTCATATTTATAAACGAGAGATCCATGCGTGAGTAGGTATAAAATATGGAAGTATTGGAAAGGCAAACAAGTTGGTTGCCAATGTTGGAAATATTTATTGTTTTCGTACTACATAATACCATTGATTGATTTGGTTAAGGTAACCTGAGATTTGGGTAACTGGTTATAGATGTGGCAGTAATAGTCCTTCATAAATAGAAATCTTGGCTCTAGGGTACTGTTTTTCACAATTTCAAGAGTAACTCGAGTGGACATTTTGCTAAAAGTGTCATTTCTTGTAGAGCTCTAACACTAACAACCATTTTGCTAATAAAAATACATAAAAATGTGTTCTATCTTTGTGCCTAAACTTTAAACTCTACACTGTAATGTTGAAAAGATGAAAAAGAAATTTTTAAAGAAAAAAATGAAGAGACAATCAAAACAACATCAAAAAAAGAAAAAGTCAAATAAAAGGAGATAAGAAAAGACTGAAGAACGCTTAGAAATAAGAAAAATAGGAGAGAGAGAGAGAGAGAGAGAGAGAGAATAAATATGTGTAGAGTTGGAGTATGAAAATTAAAACTTGAAAATGAGATTTGAATTGAATTCAAGTTGATAGAGTAGTTTCACTAGTCTTCTGTTTGTCAAATATTCGCTCTAAATAATTTTCTTCATATAAGCAACTTTGAAAGAGAGAGAATAAATACGTGTAGAGTTGGAGTATGAAAATTATAACTTGAAAATGAGATTTGAATTGAATTCAAGTTGATAGTGTAGTTTCACCAGTCTTCTGTCTATCAAATATTCACTCTAAATAATTTTCTTCATATAAGCAACTTTGAATTTTCAACTACAGATATGAAAATATCTTAGAGGGGATGAGTCTCAAATTTTTCAAAAAGTTCGTGATGAACTTATATAATTTAGACATATTGTCAACTAATCTACCATCTCATATATAAGACTTTTTAAAATTTTCAGCATCCCAGGTCCATATGTCATAATTTAGTCACTCTTAACTTTTCAATCAACATCTTCAAGTGGACACATGAAGTGTTGCTCTCATTGTAGCATATAATTTTGGAGTAGTGACACTCTAATTTAAAAATTAAATCTATTTTTTAAGTTTAGTGATGTGACAGTCTATTAGGAATATGTACTGGCAATTTTATTTTTTTCATATTTTCTTTTCATTTACACATTATTAAATTTAAAAATAAAACTTAAAAAATAAATTTATATATCATTTTTCATAATTTTAAGGGTCCATCATCTAAAGACTTGCCGAATAAGTAGGTGTTGATATGAAAAATCAAAGTTCCAATAAATGGGCTGCTTTGTTTGTGAAAAAATTGGCTGAGAATCAACCATCCAGCCTGCTCTCCATAAAACTCAGCATCCTTGATATTAGGTGGTCCTGTCATTCATCAATTATCAAATAATATATTTTTCTTATTTTTTATATCTTGACACAAAATTATGAGTCTCAACTCTTCCATCAATCATAATTCCCCTAAACTAATTACCAAACCATGTCTGAAGATTGTTGAATAATGTTTTTTTTTTAAAAAAAAAGCTCTATTCATACATAGAAGTCATACAAAAAAAACTTTATAAAGAATAATGTGAAAATGTTATTGTTTCAAATAAACTATTTTTATGGTTATTTTGTTTTAAAATTAAAGGTGCACATTAAATTATATCATTCTGCATAAAATTTTGTATACTTTTTTTTTGTATACCATTACTCGTTAGGCTAAGTACTGTTAAAAAACATTGTATAATATTCAAATAATGTTTAAAAAATTTACAATTTTGATGCGTATGATATATATTTTTTTTTAGTAAATTCTATTGATTTTTCTTGAGTTTAAAAAATATATACAATAAATCCTACAAGTTTAACATAATTATATTAATTTTTCATAAATTTTAATTCACATAACATTTTGACATCATTTTCATCATTAAATTTGTTAGTCATATGAATAGAAGATGATGTTATTATATTCTTTATACTGAAATATGTATTTTATCTTAATTCTCATGTTTCATATCATCTGTATCAATCATAGACTCTTTTTCTTTACAAAAAGGAAGATTAATGTAATTATCTCAAAAGTAAGAGACTTATTGTATTTTTCATAAATCTTAATATAATTTACAAACATTTTTATATACTTCATACATATATCAATATATTTGTTGCCTAACATTTTATTATTCACTTATAAGGTTGCGGAAAAGGTGATGGAATCATGAAAAGAAAATGAAAAATTAATTAGAACTTTACCAACATAACTACAAAAATTACTCAAAATTTATTTTGAATGAAGGAAAATTATACTATAGTCGCAAAGTATCACATGGTTATACTCTCTCACCAATCACCATTCATTATGTCTCCTTATATTTTTCAATTACCCAACACAAATAATTATTACTCTTCATTCTTTGCCAATCATACTACCATAGAGCACACTACAAGAAAAGATAGTTTCACCGACCAAAAAATTAGTCGCCAAAGGTCACTTTTTTAGTCGCCAAAACCAATTAGCGACTAATTTTTTTTGTCGCCAACTTAGTCGCCTAAACCCTGTCGGCGAATGTTTTAGTGACTAAACGCGTGTTTAGTCGTTGAAAATGCAATATTTGGCTACTAATTTTTTTAGTCGGCAAATGTTACCTTTTGGCGACTAAAAAAATAGTCGCCGAAAAGGTAATTTTTAGCTACTAAATTATTGGTCACCAAACGTCAACATTTGGCTACTAAAGTTGGGTTAGTCGGCAAAAGTGATATTTTTGGCGACCAAAATATTAGTCGCCGAAAGGTATAACAAAACTAATTTGAACTATTTAGAGACTAAACTTTTAGTCGCTAATTGAACTATTTCCCGACCATGGAATTTAGTCGCCAAATGATGCCAACTTTTATTCATTTTGCTACTACATTATTAGTGGCCAAAACATTTGAAAATAGTTTTTGGTTACCAAAATAGTTAATAGCCAAATACTATATTAGAATTTTTTTTTTTTTAAAAATTTCTGAACCACCTATATCCATTATTAGTACAACCTATACAATGTATAAACAATTAAATCCATCAATACTAAATATATATTATCAACCATTCAACAATGTGCATGCCAAAAATTCCATTCGACATCCAATTCCATTCCATTCGACATATGTAATACAAATTCCATACGACCCAAGTATATTCCAACCTCAATAATTTAGTAATACAAAATTAGTAATACAAAATATATTCCCTCCATTCGACATATGTAATACAAAATATCAACCTGATAATCAATCCTAAAATTAGTAAATAAACGAACGAAGATTTCGAGTTCCTGAAACCCAAGAACCCATTTTCTTTGCCCTTGTTCATACTGTCCAGCATACCCTTACCGCTGAGCATGAGATCAACAAACCACCACAATCCCACCTCGTCCAATCTTACAAGCATCAGAAGCAATTATTGTTTCTCCAAAGGCATCCCATTAACCATCTCCAACTCTGTCTTGCAATTCTCTCTCAAATCTTTTAGTGCGAGCAAACTGGCTTCCTGCCACACAAAATTGGAACTAACTATTAATAAATAAATAAATAATTGAACAATAACAATAAATAAATAAATAAGGGCAATATAATAATCTTGTTTGACCATAAGGAGTTACTAACATAGCCAGTAAAGTTAGGAACAACAGCTTAAAAAAAGTCCACATGCATCTCATAGTCACGTGACTGGTCTGTAAGCATCGGTTGTCATCCAATCATGTATTTGTGTTTGAGCAGACTTTATATCTCAAAACATGTGTTGCATTGTATACTGTATTCTGTTAACACCTTGTATTATACATTGAAATTTTCAAACTAATTGAAAAGTATGTGCAAAATATAAATATGTTAATTTTGAAACTGGAGAAATGCAATGCAGTATTGATAATGTTATTTCCATGATTGTCATATTTTTCCAGTTGAGATTGATATTGTCATCCAATCATTTTCTTGACATTTCATCGCTTTGGCTTGCAATGCTTCATCATAAAGGGTTGGTATTGCTTCACTTCTATAGAAAGCAACCTTGTGCACATGTGTAAACATGAATGCATTCTATTGTCCATTTTTTTTCATTTGAGATTACAGTAAATTATTCTTTACTCTCTTTTTTTCCTTTCTTTTTCTACAAGAGTTAATCAATAAAATAATTACTTAAAATCAATTGTAACACACAATTTTGAAGCATATGAACAGTGGCTTGAGAATCATGGTATAAGCAAGTGCCTAAAGCCAACTAATAATCAGCTAGGGGCCAGTGTTATGTACCAACAACTGCAGTTGTTTATCAACAATTATACAGAGGAACTCTCATGATCTTTGGGGGAATGGCCCCTGCCAACCCTCCTCTCCACATTCTTGAATTGAATTGAAGGAACATCAAGTTAAGTAATAAAAAATTCAGTTTCACTACACATTCTTGAATTGAAGAAACATCAAGATACAAACTTGAAGGCCTACAATATATTGTAAAAGGTATCATAACCGAAATATCTACTTAGTTTTTTGAATCAAAGGATGATAACACACCTGATGCTGAATCCACGAATTGTCCATTGATGAGAAGCTGGGTAAAGATAGGAGTACTGCCAAAAAAAAGAAAAGAAAAGAAAAGAAAAGAAGCAACTCATGTTAATTAAGTTTGATATCAATGCAAGCAAACATAGATGAAAGAGTGACAAGCAACCTTATCAGAACATCAGAGAGAGCATTTGGACCAACAGGAACATGAACAATGTGACTGCTGTCATTATTGTTTACAACAGCAAGAAGGGCTTCGAGCTTTTCTGCTTTCCCCTCATCTTCTTCACCAAAATTAACAATATCAAGGGCTGCACTGTTCTTTTTTAACTTCCTTCCAATCATGCAAAAATGGAAAAATGTTGCTTTGCTAAATTATGCAAAAATGTTGCATTGATACATTTCACAACAACATAATGGGTAAAGATTAACACAATCGAGATTAGAAAAGTTCAAAACAAATAGGGTCAGCATTTTGTTCTTCCTTTTTGGAAAAAAAGAAAAGAAAAATGGGTTTCAGACCGATGACAAGAACAACTTTTTCAAAAAAAATAAAAAATCAATAAAATTGGCCAAAGTCCTGAAACTGACAATGAAGCATTGTAACCTTTTTACTTCATAACAACAAAGGTTCACAGACTCAGCTTGAATCAGAAAGTGCAAGATCATAGACCCAATTAGAAGAAATAACAATACTTTAATAATAGAGAGTCAAGAGTCTTACTTGCCAAACTTCAATGCCTACATATTTTATTGGCTTCAATACATAAAGGTGAGGATTATCTTCGAACTCTGCAGGGAACAAACAAGTATTGTAATTAAACCCAGAGATCCAGTTGTCATGGTCTTTGAAGCAAACATTTCAAATATGAAATAATAGAACTAATATGATTAAATGTATCATCTTAGATTCATCAGAAGAGGAAATCAAAAAACAAAAAATAAAAATCAACTTAGGTGACTCAATAAACTTTCACTAATTTTTAGTTAAGTTAAGTTAAGTTTGATTGATTGATTACCAGGAGCAGAAGCAGAGCTAAACTGCTACCCTAAGCTAGACCACCCAGATTTACTAGGAGCCCACTGCAGCAAAACCAAATCAATGATACACTCTCCTACCCAAAGACAGACCAGATCAAACCAGCCAACTGGGGACAGTCCAGACTCAAACACCCATATCTCATCTACTAAATCAGCCCTAAATTTATCAATTATTTATAAGTTGGGATGAGCAAAGTGAGCCCAATACCAGATTCTGATTATCACTTGAAATTTGTTGCTCTAAAAATCTAACATAACTGCAAGGAACCGTACACAATCCAAGTCAATAATCAAGAACATAATTTCAAATCCTTAGTTTAATAAAACTTGGCCAAAGGAAAACATCTGAAAGTACTTGACGATAATTTCACTAAGCATATCATTACAAACAATCTCTTATTCCCAAATTCTCCTTTAGTTGCTGAGAAAGCTGTGGTAAATCCAAACAGAAACAAAAAGACTAATAGTCCAATCTTATTGTTGAGTGATTTCCCAAACCCAAATTAAAATCCAAATATTTATATAGGGAATGACATGTATTCAGGTCCAAGTGATAGAAAAGACATAAACTTCCTTCATTTTCCTTCATTTTCTCAGCAACCAAACAGTGGACATCCAAAAAAAGAAGAAAAACCCAATTACACCTCACCAAGATAAGGCAAAAGAATGAATCAGAATCATAGATCGGCATAAAATATAATATATAAAGAGAGAAATTTAAAAAGAGCACCTCGACAGTCCAAATGAAGAAATCAAGAGGCTCAGGAGGGCGTTCTTTGTTCATCTCCCAAATCAAGACACAAAGAAACCTAACCTTAAAATCAAATTAAGCTTGAATAAGATCAAATGATTCCATTAAAAACAAAATCAGAAAAAACGCGACATATTTATGAATATATGAGTGATGATGGATTTACCGCATGAGGAGGAGGTGTAATTATGGGTCTGATTGTCTTCTTCTTCTTCTTCTTCTTCTTCTGCATTTGATGCTCAGATTACGATTTCAGAAAGAGAAACAGAGAGGGAGGTTCTTTGAACCAAAAGGCTTCACTTTTTACGCACTCTCTTGCTCTCTCACTCACACACACACACACACACACACACTGAATCTATTCACCTCATTGTTGCTTCCTTTTGTTTGCTCTGACTGATTAAATTATGTTACTGTGTGTTTTGGTCCGAAATGTTCGTGTCCTACGCGCCACCTTCCTCCACTCGCACGTGTCCTCCGCCACGTAATGTGGTCAAACGGAAGGAGAAGTTATTTGGTGGTGCATAGCCTCCTGCTGTTCCAAGAATGTTGAGTAGATCCATGATTTCCTTTTGGGCAATGATTTGTGGCCACAAATTCTGTGGTTCAAATGATCCGAAAATGTCAAAATTTTGAACCACAGAATTTGTGGCCACAAATCATTGCCCAAAAGGAAATCATGGATCTACTCAACATTCTTGGAATAGCAGAGGCTATGCACCACCAAATAACTTCTCCTTCCGTTTGACCACATTACGTGGCGGAGGACACGTGCGAGTGGAGGAAGGTGGCGCGTAGGACACGAACATTTCGGACCAAAACGCACAGTAACATAATTTAATCAGTCAGAGCAAACAAAAGGAAGCAACAATGAGGTGAATAGATTCAGTGTGTGTGTGTGTGTGTGTGTGTGAGAGAGAGAGCAAGAGAGAGTTGAGATAAATACTTGAGCTTTGAGGAATTTCTAGGGAATTCAAGGAGATTGGTTTGGAACCTTAGAGAATTCACCAATTAGAGCTTCATTGAGAGGTTGAGGTATATATGAATTCAACACCTAGATTATGGGATTGTGATGTTAAAACATGAATTCATGAGGATTAAGTTGAGTAATTTTGGGTTTGAGCAAAAAGAATGAAAGAATATAGATCATATCATGCATGCATGCATGTTTCATAGCATTTTGAAGTTGATTTCCAAGAATTCCCTCATGCATGTCTTGAATTCACTTTGATTGTGAGAAAATATCTAGTTTTATGTTGTTTTGTAGCATTTGATCATGTTTTGAGAAGCTTGAGTTCAAAGAAATTCATGCATGTCATGTTCTTGGATCATTCACAAACTTTTAGTTGAATTTTGCATAGTTGGCAAGCCATTGGACCATGATTTCTTGAAATGATCTTTAATTCATGTTGTTTTAAGGGTTTTCATGTATTTTCTCAAGTTTTGGCCTAGAAAAATCGAGTTTGATGCTTTAAAGGTTGAGTTTGAGCTTAAAGATCAAATCTGGA